CCAACTTAGAGTCACCACCCATCCTTATCCAAGAATTCACCCAGTAACTCCCCTGACCCAGCCTCCTTCACCACCCCAATCCATACCTCATTTTAAAAAAATTTGTCAGTAGCAGGGTTTGAATTCAGGGTTTCATTCTTGTTAGACCGTGGTTCTACCACTTGAGCCACACTTTTACCCTCTCCCCGCCAGTTGTATTTGCGATAGGGTCCTGTTTTTGCCCAGGCTGGCCTGGACTGCAATCCTTCTGTTTATGCTTCCCACAGTAGCTGAAATGACAGGCACATACCATCACATCCAGCTCTTTTCCAATAAGATGGGGGTCTCCCAAACTTTTTTTTCCCCCAGGCTGGTCTGGAACTGTGATCCTCCCAATCTCAGCCTCCTGCATAACTTCAGATGGCAGAAGTACACCACCAGGCGCAGGTATCAGATGAGATGGAGTCTCACTAACTTTTTGCTTGGACTGACTAGCCTGTAACTGCCATTCTCCCAACCAGAGTCTCCAGAGTAGCTAGGATTACAGGCATGAACCACTTGCACCAGCTTAACAATTTTTTCTTAAATCAAATATTGTAGGACTTCAAGGTTGGTGCTTGAAGGGAGCAGTCTTGAGAGGGCATGGATGCACCGTGCTGACCCACCCCATACCTCAGCCTACTTATCTCTTCCATCTGTCTGTTCCTAAATTGTGCCCTTCATGGTAAACTAGTCAATGTAAGAAAAAAACTGTACTTAGAAGCTTCCACAATGTTAACAAAACTGCAACTCTTTTTTTTTTTTCAATTACAGAGCGGGATTCAGTTAACAGAACAATTGTTTCATATAAGTTGCATCATCACGGACAAGAGAAAGTGAAAGAACTACTGTTCCCAAATATCACTAATTTGTGCTATGTACCAGCAAGAATCTGCTTTGACCTTCCATGCCAATTTACAACTTCTATTCTGAACCAGGCAAGGGTAGTGGCTATTGAAATTGCCACTGGGATGCAGCCATCTAAAGACACTTTAGAGCCAGGCACTGGCAACTCATGCCTGTAGTCCTTGCTACCTGGGAGGTCGAGGTTGGATCATAGTTTGAGGCCAACCCAGCAAAAAGTTCGTGAGACTCCATCTCAACTAATAGCTGGAAGTAGAGGTATGTGCCAAGCTACATGGGAGGCTGAGATCAGGATTGCAGTTCCAGGTCAGCCCAGGCAAAAACTCTGAAAGAGACCCCATCTCAACAGAAAAAAGCTGAGCATGGTGGTTTGCACCTGTCATACCAGTGACAGCAGGGAGCATAAAATAGGAGGATGGTGGTCCAGGCATGCCTGGGCAAAAAGTGTGACCCTATCACCAAAATAACCAGAGCAAAAAAGGCTGGAGGCTTGGTTCAAGTAGCAGAGTACCTGCCCAAAAAATAAAGACTCATTTGGCAGAGTGTTAATTATAGAAAAACAAACAAACAAAAAGTCACTGCAAAGTTGTAAAACAAATGTTAGCCTTACATTTCAATTTTTTTTCCTTAAAAGGAATGGGTTGTACAGAGGGGGTTTAAATGTTTTATAAACAGAAAAAACTGTACTGGACCCAACTCATTCATCATCTTCTTCTTCACCTTCCTCCTCTTCCTTTTTTCTTGGTATTTTTGGCTTTGAGGATTCCTTTTTCTGCTGCATCAGGTTTTCCTTTAGCTCGGTAGGCAGCAATATCATTTTGTGTTTTTCCTTCAACTCAGCAGCTGTCTGTTCATGAGACTGTCACCTGTAACAGGGTTCTTCCTCATCGTTTCCATTCTTTACAGCACCACCAATGATGGGGTCAGGATGTTCTGCTTTGATACTGGGGGATCCTCAGAGCAGAACAAGAAGACTGCAGGAGGCCTCTTGGGTACACTGGGATCTTTGAACTTCTTTTCTTGTTAGAGTTTTTTTTTTCTTTTCCTTTCTTTTATTTGAGACAGGGTAGCTCAGGCTGAACATGAACTTGAGATCTTTCTGCCTCAGCCTCAAAGTGCTGGAATCACAGGCATGTGCTACCATGCCCTGCTCCAAGTTTTTGTGTCTTTTTTCCTAACAGGCCTTATGGGACTTTGCTGTGTCTTCAGATTTTCCTTTAGCTTTTGCAGACCATGGCCCTCCCCTTCTCTGAGTACTGCTTAGAAAACTCTGGAAAGTTGATAGAAGCATCTAGATGCTGTTTCTTGTGCTCCTTATGGGGAGTTTTCACAAAGAATGCACATGATGACATTTGACCCTTGCTTGCTGTGCCCAGTGAGGAGGCACAGAGCCCACCCTGCCCGTCAGGCCTTCACTCGCCAATGGCTGTCTGTACGGAGCTCTATGTACTCCAGCAGCTGTCATCCACAACATTTTCTGATTGCCAGTCACCCGGTTGTGGAGCAGAGACAGCGTGGTCTGTAGACAGGGCCACAGGGTCAGCTTGTGGGCTTTCCTGTAGTCCCAGATCAGGGACCAGGCTCCAGTGGCCATGGTCTACACAGGGGGAGAGATTGGGCCTCTCCTGTCAGCTGTTTTGTTGTGGGACTTTCCACACTGCTCCCTCAGCAGTCCCTGCATCCTGGGCAGCAGAGCCTGTTACATCCTCCCCCTCAGAGAAACTGAAAAGGAAAATGAAGGGACAACAGTACTGCTCTGGCAGAGGGGTCCTTGCTGGGACAGGGGAGGGGCTCTTGCCTGGAAAAGGGGCCTCTTTTTCCCCAGGGCTGCTTAGCTTCTGCCCACCCTTGTTCCAGGGATCGTGGGATGCCCACCAGGCCTCACCCAGACCCCAGCGTTCCCTCCAATCTGCTCGAGGTTAACCTCAGCTTCTTCCTGGTCTCCTCTGATTCACTTTCCTGCCTCTGGCCGGATGGGGGTTTAGAGGTTTGGCTTCGCCCTTCTGCTTATATACTCCAAGTACCCAACCCTGCCAGCTAACCAGTCCTGCCACAACCCAGGGCCTCTCACCCTCCAGTCAGAAACCCTTAGCTACCTGGTATAGGAATCCTAATGTCCCCTGCAGGGAGCACCCAGCCTTGCCACCTTCCAAGGAGAACAGCCAGGCTCTGACACTATTGTGCTTCCCCATTGTGCGCCCTGCCTGAGGAACTATTCAGTTCAGACACTGTAGGACCAGTGGACAGGGGCAGCATCAGAACATGTGCTTTGCGGTTTGTCACTTCATTTGAACCTCAGTCCAGGAACACCTGCTTCATACACTTAAAAGTAGTTCTACAGATGGTGAGAAACCTGAGGCTCAGAGAGGTTAAAAGCTTATCCAAGTTCACACAGCCAGGCAATAAGACACCCAAGCCAAGGACCTATGTTCTGTCATTGTGAATCCAAAGCAAACAGTGCTCTATAGCGCTGATGTTTTCCAAGCAGCCCCAGCAGCAAGTAAAACTCAGGAAAGGCCTTTTGAGAGTGTCTGGCCTTCTGGGGCTTCTGGAAAAATAGGTAAGGGGAAGGGTTTTGTTTGTTTGGTTTTCCCCCCTCATCCTTACTGAAAAGCTTTAAAATCTACATTCTATCTATCACAGTCTGGGATCAAGTAGGGGTCTAATCTAGCTGTATGTCCATCTGAAGCCAGAGACTCTCATCTGCTGAAAATGCCCCCTCTGGGTGGGTACTGGCCTGTAGTTACTAGATATTAACTAGTAAATACTAGATATTCTGTTGGCTGCCACCAGTGAGGCCCCTAGAAAAGGCCACCAATTCAGCCTAGTCAGAAACTGCATTTCCAAGTTTTTATTCATATGCCCAGTGTTAACTCTTTGACCCAATTTATTGAGCATCATGTACCAAATAATCCCAGGTACTGAGATATGAGGAGGAACACAGTACCATTCCTGATCACAGCCAGGTGGGACAGACAGACAAATAGGCACTAATAGGGAAGGAAGGAAATAAGCGTAGCTGGGCCTCAGAGGCCTGAATCAGGCTGGGGAGGCTCCTCAGAGGAGAAGACTTTTTGAGTTGGACTTTGAAGGACAAAATGTGAGTTTCTTCAAAAGTCTCTCTAAGGAGCTGTCTTTTGAACAATGCTGTCCGGTAGAATTTCTGCAGTGATGCAAATGTCCTATTTCTGTGATGCCCAACATGGCTGCCACATGCCAAGTCCTTGAGATGTGGCTAGAGCAGCTGAGGAACTGAGTGCTTACTTTGCTTTCATTTTTAATGAATTTAAATTTAAATAACCACCATAGTCCACAATGTGGTTCTGGGTGCTTCTTACCCCGAATCCCATCTGAATCCTTTGAGGTGTGTTTTAAAAATTCTAGTGCCTAAGTCTTAACCCCTGACCCCCCCCCCCACTCCCCGCCATGAGAGCCCCTGAGTTTGTTGATCTAGAGCAGGCTTAGTATCAGTGCTTTGTAAACAACCCAGATGATTCTCTGGTAAGCCAGGTGGAGAATCCTGGATCCAAAACTGTCAGCTCATTTGTCTCAGCTTTGTCTCTCTCAGGGAGGACCATGTTGTGCCAGTCCTGACACCTCTTTCCCAGGTGAAGGACACACCTCTGCTTCCAGTAGAAAGTTCAGGCCCTTGAGGTCTCTCATACAGACCACAGCCTCCCTTCCCTGCTAACCTCCCCCAGCCTGGAGCCAGCATCGTCCACCTCAGTGCACTGCTGGACCTGGCCAGCTCCCCTGAACAGCAGAGTTCAGTGGTCAAGGAGCCTTGCTGAGGATTCTGGGGCCCTTGGCCAGAGCCCAACCAGCCATTTTCCCAGGCTGGGCTGGGCTGGGCAGGAGCAGGGGCCAGTGGCCAGGCCTGAGGTTTGGCGCCTTTCTGCCCTTCTATTAAACAGATATGCGGATGAATGTGTTTGGGACAGCAATAGGACAGGAGGCTTTAGTAACAAGACTGAAATTTAGAGACAGCTCCCTTCCCCCTATGCCTTGGAAACGCTCTCTGAACTGGGGCTCACCCAGCAGCTGCTGTCCACCCACCCCTACTGCTGCCACCCACACCCCAAAAGCAACTTCTCCCATGACTCACACGTGGCAGCTTGTGCACTTCTTTTATTATTAAATATATAAGCAGCTTCCTATTTTTTAAATAGATATTTAAATGACCTTATATAAAATAATTCACCACTTCCAAGTATAAAAACGCAGTCTCACAGTTCGTGAGCCAATGGTCCCTCTGGGCTTTTTCAGAGGAAAGAAGGGTTCCTGTGCAGGTGGAGGGGGCACCCAGAGGTGGCTCTGGGGTTCCTCCTGCGCTGGTGTCACCAAGTGCCCACAAAGAGCTTCTGCAATGGGTTGAATTTGCCTTTTAAAAATACTCTGTGTTTAAGGTGGAGGGGTAGTGGAGAAATGCCTTTCTTTCTGTGTTTTTCCTTCCATTTAAAAATACGTATTTTCTAGCGTGGAATATAGAGTCTGTGACTAGAAGGATAAGCCCTACCAGAAAGTTCTTTGCTGCCCTTCCCTCAGCATCAGGACAGGGGTGGCAGGGCCTGCCTGATGACCCTCCCTCTCTCTGGCAAGAAGGGAAGGACATGAGTCCAACAGTTGGGGAGAGCAGGTTCTCTGAGTGGAGGGTCTGGGGTGGCAAGAAAGGAGGGACACAGCAGCATAAGGGGACTGAGGGGCAAGTGACAGCCCGATAACCCATTGCCCAGGTCTCAGAGCCACAGCCAGGGGCTGGCCCAGGAAGCCCTCAGAGCACAGTTGGAAGCAGATGCTTGATCTCCTGGTCCCTCCCCAGCCCTGGAGGGCCTGGCCAGAGATGCTGGGGGTGGAGGTGGGGTGGGAGAAGGAAGAGCCAGAGAGGATGGGAATTCAGAGTTATACTGGTAGGGCTGGATGATGGGGACAGCCTGCCAGCTCCAGGCTGCAGGCATCAGGGGAGGAGACTGGGCTGACAGGCCGGGGTGCACACACCTCTCCCAATCTCAGGGCACACCCATATTTCCAAACCCATTTTCAGTCAGAGCTCTTACTGTGACCTCTCTACCTCTGCCTCCTCTTTCCCCCTCCCCCTAGTCACTTCCCTCTTGGGAATGTCAAAGTGCAAAATGCAGAAACCTGGGCAACCAACACAGCCCGAAGACCAGCTCCGGCTGGGGGCCCTGCAGCTCTCCACGGCTCCACCCTGGGGGAGTCAGAGGCTGGACAGGGGAAGGTCAGGGCTCAGGGGCTCCCCCAGTCAGCAGATGAGGCCAGCTCAGGGCAGGAAGCTGGGGAGAGGGGCGGAAGGACATTGGAAAGGATGATCATGAGGGTGGGACAGGGCAGGCCGTTCAGCAGGCAGGTTCAGTCTTCACAGTGCAATGGCTTCCTTCATGAGAAGAGCCTCTGCCGGGCCTCCCAGAGAAGCACTGGCAGGGGCTGGAGAGAGGGAAGAGCAGAGGCCAGAGCTTGGTCCTCCTCTTGGCATCCAGAGCCAGGTCAGGCAGGTCCTGAGGGCAGGGTTGGCCACTCCTCACTGTACGGTGACCAGCAGAGGGCACTTAGGCAAGTAGAGGATGTAGAAAGACCCCTCAGAGCTGTCAGCAAACAGCCAGAGGCCTCCTCTTCCTGTCTTTTGGGCTGCACGCCTTTACGGGAAATCAGGTGAACGCTGTCCCGCCCCATGAATCTCAGGCTCCTCTCCCTGGGGACAGGTCCCTGCCTGTCCATATGGGGAATCCTTGGCACCAGATGGCTCCTCTGGGTGCAGGGCTCTTCCATTCCTCAGCACCCACTCTGGTCTCCCACATGCCACAGGCCAGGAGCTGGCTTGTAGGAAAGTAAGAGGAGGGTGCAACCCCTAAAGAACAGGGTCCTGAGCCCAGCTTGCCTGCCTTCCTCAAGCACAAGGGGGCCTCCAGGGCCCACAATAAATAGCGGCAGCGTGGGGTTCATCTTCCAGCCCTCTTTCAGTCAGTTGAGGATCTAAGGGTCAAGGTGGAGGAATCCTAGCATGGCTGCTCTGATCCAGTCCTGGCAGGCAGGAGCTCTGGTTGGTGGTGGGCAGGCCACATTCCCAGGAGGACAGCCAAGAACAGTGACGGTCGATGTCCCTATCACATTCTCCTCTCATGGGGAGATGGTCCTGTGCAACCAGCTGTAGGGAGAGAAGGGAAGGCTGGTCAGCAAGTGGGAGTGTGGGGAGGGTCGCTGAGGACGTGGCTGGGGGGAAGTGTGACGTTCCTGTGGGCTGCTGGTAGACTCTGGGCAAGACTTCCTCTTATCCTGTCCCTTCCCTTGCCCTCCCAGCCACCTCAGACTCCGCAGAGGGATGAAGCGGTTTCCACTGGCAGCAGCCCAAGTCTCTGGACAGACTGGGCCTTACCTCCCACCTCCCTCTGGGGAACCAGGGACCACAGAGGGAGGTAACGGGACCTCAGTGAGGAAGGGGGAGGGAATCATTGCTCAGGCAGATGGACCTGAGGGAAAAGGGCAGTGGGCTTTTGAGCTCTGAGACGCCCTCACCAGGCAAAAGTGTCTCATTGGCTTTGGTCAGTAAACTAAGGGTGACTTAGTTTAGTAAATAATTTTTTATTTCCACCTTCACACTATTCACTACAAGAGGGTCCTCACAGATGATAGGCAGGCAAAGATAAATGAAGAGGAAGGACTTAGGCCCAAGGGTTAGAGTCTAGAGGTGGTACTGGGACAAGGAAACTCCCACCCTGCCATTAGGCATGCTAACGTCTGAGCAACCTAGCCTCCTCCCGGATGAGCCAAGGGACTTGCCTTGCCTCTCGCATCATCCATGAGAGTCAGGGTCCTGCCCTCGCCTCACCCCACCCCCATCCTTGTCCCCTTGCCCAGCATCCTCAGAACACTTTGTTCCCAGAGCAGAAATCCCCTGGACTCTATCCAGCAATTTGACTTTGGACCCTGTGTGGTGCCTCCCTCCTAACGACATCCACGGCCCTACTGGCAAAGCCTGTGATGGATAAGGAGGGAAGATGGGACCCACAGCCTCTGGCTTCCAGCACATTCCCAAGTTCTGGAGGGGAAATAGGGGGAGCTATAAACCGGACAGGAGCCATGCTGGTATGGCTAGGTCATAGGCTCTGCCAAGCCCCAGAGGGCATGCACTGGCATGCTGCTCCCTCTGCCAGCTTTTGGGGACTGAGGTGCTGGAGCCTGAGTTTTCTGTAGTTCTGTGTCCCTCATTCAGTCTCTCTGCCTCTGTGTTTCTCACTCTCATCTTCTCAGAGCAGCAATCTGGATAGAGGCACTCAACTTCCAGAGCCTTCTGGTGCTCGACATGGGGGACCACCTTAGGGCTAGACCCACTGAGCCAAGCAAGTCCCTCTCCAAGTGAAATCTTAAGGGGAGGAAGAGGCTGGAACAGGCCTGAGTAGGGAGGTGGGGAAAGGAGAATGATGGCACAGAGGACTCAGGGCAGAAGGCCAAGACCTTGGAGGGGAGCAGTGAGGAAAACTGGTGGCTCATGGCGGTGGCTAGCACTGAGCCATAAAGTCCCCAGGGACCTCAATCCTCTGTTCACTAGTTCTGAGGAGCCCTGGGTCCTTCTCACAGCCTTACCTGGGCCCCAGCTGATCCACTCACCCATCCCAACTCACCCTACTACCAAGAGGACCCCCTGCCAGGATTCCAGGTATATTGTCACTATTTGTTCTTTTCCAAATGAGTTCCCCTGATTTGGTTCCCTTCTGTAGGAGGGGCCAACATCTGTCACCTTACACATGAGACAGCTTGCTTACAGGAGGGAAAGGGTGTGACTGGAAATTTGAATGGGTAGCCCAGCTACTCTGCTGGTCAGCCACTTAGCTAATCAATCAGGCGATCTGCCAGCTATTTAGTTAACCAGTCAGCTCACCAATCAACAACTAGCCAGTTAGGCAATTACCAGCTAGTCAGTTGGTTAGTCAATCACCCAACTAGTTGGTCAGTTGGAGTTGATTAGTTAGCTGGTTAATTGGCTAGCCAGAGGCTAGTTAGTTAGAAATAGCTGGCCAGGGTCAGTCAGTGAGTCAGTCCTGAAGTCAGCCAGTTAACATTTATTGATTTTTTGGCAAGCTTGAAGGGCCCTCTCTGTACTAGAACCCAGGATGGAAAAAGAAATGAAAAAAGTGTAGGACAGTTCCTGCCCTCAAGGAACTTACAGTCTTCTTAGTAGTGCAGAATATATGTATGCAGATTAAATGAATTTAAAAAATATAACAACATCCAAATACATGCAAATCGATACAGTATTAACCACATACAACAGAGCAGAAGGGGAATGAATTAAAGGAGTAAACCAGAGTGTGGTGGAGACCGTCAGGAAGGTTTCCTGATGGTCTGATTGTGGGCTGGGGTTTGGAGGGGGAAAATCCTGATCACATCTTTGTAACAGTGTGGGCAAGGCTAACAGAAGGCCCTCATGGATGTGTGCATGGGACACACCTGGGAGGGCTATGCAGGTGGCAGAATTAGGAGTTAAAACAATTTCGGTAGGCTCAAAGCATGGGCAGAAACCAACGGAGTGGTTTTAACAAGGGTGATTACAAACTCCTGCGCTTTGGTTTAAAAAAAGTTAAGTTGTACAAGAATGGGATGGCGAAGTTCTGCTGGACAGAGGGTCACAGAAAATAGAACTAGGGGTTTTAATAGACCACAAGCTCAATATATGACAACATTCTGATGCAGTTGTTAAAACTAAAGCACCCTTAATCTGCACGAATAGAGGAGTACTGTCCAGATCAAGGAAGGCAACAATCCCACTGTACTCTGAGCTGGTCAGACAACATCTGGAGTACTGTGTGCAGGGCTGGGCACCACATTTTCAGAGGGACATTGACAAACAAGTGTGTCCAGGATGATGAGGGGTCTGAAAACCATATCATATAAGGAATGTTTGAGGGACTTGGCCACACTTAGGACAGAGAATTTTTTTTTTTAGTACTGAGGATTAAACCCAGGGCCTCTTGTATGCTAGGCAAACACTCAACCACTGAGCTACATTCCCAGTACTAAGGATTCTTGAAGGGAACATGGATGGCTGACTTTAAGTATCTGAGAAAGTGGGGAAGAGCTGTGAGAAGGGGCAGGGAAGGCAGCTTTGCCCCACATGAGGAAGGCCCTTCTCCCAGCGTTTTATGAAGGTGGCACAGTTCCAGGAAGGGAGCTGGCCTAGAACAGAGAATGTATGGCAGAAATCTGACTGACTCCCTGATGGGTATGCAGAGAGGGGTGGCTCCTTTGGGGAGCCCCTAGGAATCTTCTATGTCCTCAGATGTCCTCTAGGAATCTTCCCAAGCCTAAGGTTCTATGGACCGTGATTCTAAAACAGGGAGGTAGCAATGACCTTGACTAGGGAAGAGGGCCAAATGGGGAGCAGTCTGGCAAGAGGTACATGATGGGGGCAGCTGCTGAAGGAGTTTGGAAACCAAGCTGAGAATGCTGGGTTTGATGTGGCTGGCCATGCAGAGCTACAAAAAATTTCCCAGGAAGGTAGAGACCTTATAAAAGTCACATTGGAGGAAGAGGATGTGGTTACTTTGGGATGGAAGGGGCAGCAGGACTAGAAAGGCAAAGGTAACAGTATCTGCCCTTGGGTATAGGGAGGGGATACAAGGGTAGAGGGAGACCTGACGCCTGGAAGGGAGGGACTTAGCTGGATCTGGTGACAAATGGGTGGAAAAGGGAGCAGGACAGAGGGGAGAGTGTCAAGTGTGGAGACCTTGGGAGTTGGTGTCAGCAACAGGGGAGGGAGACTAGAAAAGAGTACAAGTTCTTTTTAAGGGGTAGAGCAAGATGAAAATCAGAACCTTACCTTAGAATTCTCTCTACACTGGAAGTTCCACCTGTCTGTCCTCATCCTGGGTCAGGGGGCTGCAGGCAGAGCACAGGGTTGACATAAGACTTCAATTCAGCAGGAGCAGGAGAGTGAGGGGGCTCTCTAGGTCTGCCCCTAACTGCACACATTTGCCCAGCCCTCTCAGAGTTAGAAGACCCAGGGCTACCCAACTCTAGGAAGAATCAGAAAAGCCCTGATATCTAGAAAGAGTGGTCTTTCCTCCTCCTCACCCCCACCCTGTTCCAAAGCTCCATTTATTTAGAGCAAGTAGAAGAAGACCCCTCAGTCTAGAGGTGAAATAGCTCCCAAGCTAGGACTCGGATCCTCCCAGAGCCCTACCCAACTGCTCACCTGCCTTCTGGCTGCCCCATAGGAGAATCCAATGTCTGAGCCTCTCCATGGATCTGGGGACAGAAAAGAGAAGGGTCACTGAGAAGCTGGGGGAGCTGGGAGACACTGTCCCCATTCTCAACCAGGGCTGCCCCAGGTATTAATGAGAATTTCACAGGTCCTTCTGAAAGTGTGGGTCATTCAGAGGGCCAGGGGAGGATTCCTGAGGCCTCTCTGTTGACAACACTCCCTTTCCTCTCCCCTCCATGCAGTCTGCCTCCTACAGGTCCTCATGCCCAGGTTTGCAGAGCTCCCAGCGTGGCATTGCTCTCCTCCTTCTTTCCCCTTCCTGCCCAACTGTTATCCTGCTGTCAGCCCAAGAATCTTCTCTTCCCCTCCCTTCTGCTCCTATCCCTTCCTGTTGATCTCCTGACCAGAACCTTCCCAGTTCTTGAAGAACCCTACATCTCTGACTCCCATCCTCGGGGCCCAGGAAACCCTGTCACCCAGCATCTGCAGGACCCAGTCAAACCCAGGTTGTCCTCCAACCTGTACCCCAACCCCAGCCTGTGCCCTGCCCTTAAGGGACACCCTCCTCTCCTCCTGGGATGTCCTTACCCTCCGCCTCCACCTGTAGAATAGGAGGCCACCGACAGCAAGCAAGACCAGGATGATGCTGGGCACCAGCAGGTGGAAGACAAACCCCGAGAGCTGGGGGTCGGAGGATCTTGAATGCTGCCTCGCATGGCCTGTGTCAGTCAAAGGAACGGAGTTAAAGTGGGCTGGGGGTCTGGCTGCCCCCTCACTTGTTCGTCCTCCTTCCAGCTCTGTGAGGCTCCTCCGATCCCGGGTGCTCCTCTTGCCCTCCAGCTCTCCAAGGGGCAGCACAAAGCCCCGGGAGTGGCTTCCAGGAGGCTGTGACTGAGCAGAGAGGGTAGCAGGGTTGTCCAGTCCTTGCGGGTGCAGTGATGAGGTCTGGGGAGAGCCTGGCTCCTGGTGATCTCTGGGCAAGGTAGATGAACCATCTGTCTTCTCAGGAGTGTGATTCTGAGTCAGGCCAGTGGCTCTCATGGGGTCCATCTTGAGCAACGGGGTGCTTGGTACATCTGCTGGCTGTTGGTCCTCTGTTGATGTTGGAAGTGGCGAAGATGCTGAGAGGAGGTGGCTGGGTCTGGTGGTCTCTGCCTGGATGCTGCCCCCTACTGGCTTGGAGGGGGATAGCTCTGCCTCTTGGGGCACAAGACCCTCACGAGCCTCTCCAGAGGCCTCTTCTGGGTCCCAGTTAGTGCCCAGTAGAGAGTCAAGAATATCCTCCACTTCAGGGATGAGGGTCTCAGCAGAAGGGTGAATCTGTGGTGAACTCTCAGTGGGGCTGTCCTGGAGGCCTGGGGTCTCTGTTGACTCCAGGCTTTGGCAGGTGCTCCTGGGTAGTCGCTGCTTGGCACTGCCTGGGTCCACTTTGCGAAGGGGCTGCTTACTGGGCAAGAGGGAGTTGCCTTTTGGCCCCTTAGAATCAGCCCAGGTCAAGCCAGTCATAGGGGCTGTGGAGGGAGTGAGGGGCTGGTGTGGGGAGACAGAGGCCGGGTCACTGCTAGGGGTGGCTTTAGGGTACAGGCAGTTGCAATCAGGCTTGGTCACCACATCTGAAAGAACGACAGAGGGGGGAGAGAGAAAGACAGGGAGGAAATAGAGTCACCAGCCGCCAGCACAGCTCCCCGAGAGGGATCAAGAGGGGGAAATGGGTCCTCTCCTAACTTAGCCCTGGGGCTGAGGAGACGACAGATGGACAGATGCTCATGACACAGAGCACAGGCAGGAAGGTGCAGCGTGCAGTGTGTTGTGGGCAGAGAGCGGGGACACAGACACACACACCAAGGTCACAGAGTGAGGAAGCCTGTACTGGGCTCCAGGCAGCCAGAGACCAAACTAGGAGTGAGCAACAGCCTCCTGGACTAACACAAGACACTCTGAAACCCTCAAGACACCAGTTTCATGCTCAGCCAAGAAGCCACACAGCCACAGCCAAAGGCAGGAACAGGCTGGGGTTGGAAAGTGGCCAGTGGGATTGAAGCAATGAGACTGGACTTGGCCTCTACAGGTCACAGGGCCTCAGCCTGTCTCTGGGAGCAAGGATGAATGTAGGAGGGTATATGTGGCACAGGACTCAGAGATGAGGACATGCAGTGTGCACAGGTATGCAGCTGAGCCAACGGTGGGAGAGTTTAAATGATGTTCAGACTTCAAATCCAGCCTTGTCCCTTGAGGGGACATCCTGGGGGCTTCTGGAGCCAGGGTATCCTGGTGATCCACATCAGGGCACCTGGAGCAATGACCCTGACTCCCAGATGGAGCATGTGCTGTCTCCATGAAATTCCCATTTGTCCAGTCTGCAGAGCCCAGTGGGGGAGTCACCATGCCTACATGGCTGTCTGAGAGGGGCTCTTTTCCACTTCCTAACATCACAGCTACCAGCATGAGTCTCTAGATGACTCCACATGCAGACATACTAAGTGTACATGCACACACATGTCAGAAAAGGTGTGTGCCTGGGACCTCGAGGTGTATGAAGCCACATAAGGTACATGAAAGAAGCATATCCACACACAGAGAAACACACATAGCAGCTAGTCTGCCTCTGGGAGTTCCTCCATCCCACAGCTCACCTTCCACACACCCTCCCATGTGCTGGCCCCTTCTGTGCTTACCTTGGCTGGAACACTTAGCAAAGCTGTTGTTGCAGCTCTTGCTGAAAATATTCCAGTCCTTTTCAAGGAGATTCTTTGTTTCATTAAACACATTCTTGATCTTCTCCAGCAACTGGAGGGGAGTCTCATAGAAAGTTCGGATGCAGGCCTGGAAGGAGAGATGGACCTTTTGTGGGCATGACCATCAGCCCCCTGTCACAATCTCGTTTGTCAAATTCCACTGGGCTGGGCTGGTGGTGTTTGAGCCACCAGCCCAGGTAAGAGTGCCTGCCTAGCAAGCATGAGTCCCTGAGTTCAAATCTTAGTACAGCCAAAAAAAGAAAAAATTCCCTTGGGCTGTCTCATAACCGTCATCACCCCCACCTATCTAGTTTGCAGCTGAATCAGTCCTGAGGTTGTCAGAGACGTCACTCACTCACGAATCCATCCAACACATATTTAAGTGACAGGCATATGGTAATTACCTGGGCATTGTGCAATGGACAAAAGAGAGGTGGTTGCTGGCCAGTTGCTGGCCAGGTCGACACTGGGTCCAGCAGGGTCATTGTAACTAATCACATTTTTTCCTATGCAGTGAGTCCTACTAGGAAGTGCTGAGCAATCTGAAGGTGTATAACGAAAGGGAGCTGAATGAGGGTTCAAGGACAACTTCTTTGATCACAGATCAGCAAGAGTTAACCAGGAAAGGTGGGGTTGGGGAGAGTAGCCCAGACAGTGAGAGCATACTGTGAAAAGGTCCTGAGGTGGGAAAAAAGCACGAAATGCCAAAAGAATGAAAGAAGTGACTGCAGTAGTGCCACCTAGAAGTAGAAGGAAAGCAGCAAGTGACATAAATCGAGTAAGTTCAACCTGGGCTCTGTGAGCCAGGTCAGGAGCTTTTAATTTTAGCCATAGAGCAAAGGGAAAATTTTGAAAGGCTGTTGGGGAGGTAGGAAGTGGCATGATAAGACTTGAGTTTTAGGTCTGGGTTGCAGCTCAATGGTACAGCACTTGCCCAGCGTGTGCAAGGCCCTGGGGTTCTATCCCCAGCAATGTAAAACCAACCAACCAAAACCAAAAGCAAGCAAAAAAGACTTAAGATTTAGAAAAATCATCCTGCTATGGTGTGGAAGATGGATGGGGTGTCCACAGAAGGTGAGGGTCCTTTGCTGGTGCTGGGCGGGCTGAGATGTCCCATGCCTGTGTGTTGGCTGAGCCTCCTGGGCTCCTCCCATCTCTCCAGCTGCTTCTTCAGGCTCATTACCAGGTTCCTGACTTCTAAATGTTAGGGTTCCTCAGGATTCTGTCCTGAGCCCTTCTCTTCTTTCATACCAGGTCACACCAAGTATGACCACAGTTTCATCTACAGCCACTTGCTGGTGACTCCCGAGTGCCAAGTTTTTCCTTCAACGTTTTGAACAATAGCAGGGAGGAACTATGAGTTTCCCTAAGCTACTGCAAAGTCCTTAAAGGCATGGCTGCGTCCTCCTGGCCTGTAAACAACAGCCCATAATAAACTTTTGGCCTGGGCTCAGCTGCAGCACTCACCAGCTAGGTGACAAGACTCAACTGAACTATCCTGGTTATTTCCTCTTCTCTCCTCTCCCATCCAGCCTCTCCTCAGGGCTGTTGAAGCTCCCACCTTATCTTGCACTTAAAGAAAACAAGAATCCTCAGCTGGAGGCTCTGATGCCCAAGCTCAGTAGTGGAAATGCCTGCCCTGCTTAGGAAATCCCTCCATGCTGTTTTCTCAGGCCTCTGCTGGGGGCTCACTTCTCTGGCTCCTCCTCCTGGGCCCATCCCTCGGCATTCATTGGCTGTCCCGTGGGTGAATGGGCACCTAGTGAGTCCATCAAAGGACCTTCCATTCTCAATTGCAGGTGGATCAGCTTCTTTCAATGCAGAATCCTGGGCCAACCTGGCACCCAGGGAAGCAGACTCTGTGTTCACTGGGACTCTGCACGTTAAACAAGCTCCCCAAGGAACCTTCGTGTTGGAAAGGCATAGGTTTAGTAACTCTCACTAAAGGGCTGTTCCTCCCTCAACCACACTCTCTCCAGTCACATCTGTTCTTCTGTCCCCCTTTGGAGCCCAAGTTCTCCACGGTGTGATCGCCACTTCCTCTCTTTCCATTCTCTCTGATTTGCTTTCAACAGCCACCTCCACGTTGTCAAATCCCACTGATCTACAGATACTTTTCGGCTTTTATTTGTTTGACTTTTCAACTCCATTTGATATAATTGACTACTTCCATCTTGAAACCCAGTGACAAGGCTTTCTGGTAGAGCAGCCTGAGGAGGATCAAATGCTTGGGTTCCTGGGCCTGTTTCTCTACTCACAGTGGGCAACGCTGTGCAGTCTTGCGGCTTCACAGAGGACCTCCTGGTGTGTCCTCTATGTGTGTTGCTAGTTACACTCAAGACCAGTGTCTCCTGCTGCCTGCTGAGCCTCACCTGTCTGTGAGCCCCAAATTGAACCCGGCTACTCCCCAAACCCACTCTGTCTGCCATCATCCTCATTTTGGCATCCTTGACATATCCAGGTGACAAAACCATCTTGACTCTTCCTTTCCCTCAGCCCCTCCCATCCCCTGCATGCACCAAGTCCTGTGGGCCCAAGCCATAGGAGTACAATCTGCTCGCCTCCATTCTTGCTACACCACCTTGACCCAAGCTGCCTCTATCTCTGGCCTGGGTTTGAACCTCCTAATGGCCTCTTGGCTTTCATTCCTGCTCCCACTAGCCAACTCTCCATATAACAACCAGAACAGTCACCCGTGATGTCTCACGATGGCTTCCCTTGCATTGAAGACAAAATCCCACAACTTTGGCACCCCAAGTGGTCTGTTTTCTGCCTTTTTTCCTCTTCACTATTTATGCCTTGGCTGTGCTGGTCACTCTGTAGGTCCCTGAATATGCATCTTCCTGTTCACCTTTGGACTCATGCAAAGCATGCCTTGTTCTAGAATGTTCTTCCAGTGATTGCTTTCTAACTCTTACTCATGTTTGGAGTGACAATGTTTTCTTATTCAGGAGTCTGTCTTTTCTTCCGCCCTCCCAGTTGTTCTCTCAGAGCCCCAGGTTATTGGTCATGGCTCTCTCACCTCTTTCAAGCCTCCCCTCCCCTGTTTTTCTCTTCTCTAGTACAGTTATATCCATCCTCCACCCACATAATTTACTTGTTTATTTTGTTAACTCTCTCACTCCTCCCCCATGTAATCTCCATGATTGTGGGGATTTTTGCCTGTTTTGATCACAGCTGTTTCCTGGTGTTTAGAACACTTGGTACACAATGGGCACTGGATAACTATTTGTTGAATGAGTGAACAGTCCTCCTGGTTTGTAATTATATTCACTTATACCATTGTTTAACAGCTGCCCACCTCTTGTGACCATAGGCTCAGTGAGGGTAGGAACCAGGAATTTCTTGCTCCTAGGGTGTCATCAAGGCACTACACCTCCTGACTAGTTAGTCCTTAGTAAAAGTTTGTGGCATGAATGAATGAGTGAATGGGAGAGTGTGTGAGCGGTGGCATGAAGCAGGGTGGCACCTCCGCAGCTGCCCTATGTCCTTACTCATGCTCCAGTCTCCGGGACCTCCTACCTTGTCATGCTCTTCGTAGTCCTTAGTGAAGCAGCTCTTCAGCCTCAGAGAGAGTTCCTGAAGCCGCACGATGGCATTGGCGTTGGGGGTGTTGTCTTTGAAGCGCATGGTATCCTCCATTATGTCTTGCACCAGGGGAAATGCTTTCTTAAGGTAGCACACAGGATCTTCCTGAAAAGCCGGAACCGGAAGCTTAGGCCTGGCCAATGTGGCCTGGGAACTTGGGCTTGGTACTAGATGCCCACTAGCCCAGATAGATGAAAATCCTTTCAGCCTGCTCAACTCTGACCCCTGGGGAGGTGATGCAACACTTCTGAGAAGAGGAGAATGCTGGCTTGGCTTGTCTTGCACTCTCTCTGTTTGGGATTCAACACTACTGGGGACTAGGCTAGAGGGAAGGAAATGTGGATTCTAATTAGGGAGATCTTTGGGTTTCTAGAAAACAAGGGTTTAATCAGGATGATGTACAGAAGAAGGGTGGGCTTTGGTGACCCCAACCCCTTCTCTCTTTCTCTTCCTTGCAGCTTACTTTCACAAAAGTACTTTGCCCTATGGTCCCTTCAAATCTTCCAGGACATAGAGGTCCTAAGACTACCTCATGGTTCAAAGAATAACCTTAGGTTTTGTCTTCTGACAGAGATGGTGGTTACCTCAAAGATAGAAACTGCTTTAGCTCCGTGTCCCTAGTGTCCAGTCCACTGGGTATCTAGTAAGTGTATATTATGGTCCCATGCAGGCGTGAATGAATGAAATACAGGCTGTTCTTTGGCCTATGAGTGGGCTGCAGTTTTAACAGAGGTGAGCGTGGGTCTGATGTATGGGAGCTCAGACACAAACAGCTTCTGGGCAGCATGGCTGTTTTACATAAGGTGCAGATAGCCAAGCATGGCATAGAGGGTGAGGTGTGGCTCTTGGAAAGGCATGGCAGGCATTGGAAGGAGTGTGTGCAAAGACTGAGAGACAAGGGAGCAGAGAAGGGGGATGGGAGTGTGCCCATGTGCTGGAGACACCAGGCTAGACAGCCTGGGCTTTCTCCTGGGATGATGGGGGTCCTGGCAAGTTTTAATAAGAGAAGTGATGGCAGTGAGGTTTCAGGACATTCATCCTAGGTTTCTCCCTAAAGGTGGGATATGGAGTGCCCCAGTAAGGTGGTTTCTGAAATTGTCCAAGGGATTGACTAGGGGAAGGGGGTGAGATAGAACTTCAAGCTGCTGGGAGACAGAACCTGCCACACTTGGTGACTGGTTGGATGTGGGACAGGAATCCAGGCTGGACTGCCTCCCTGGCTGCTAGTGGTCTGGTGGATGCAGGTACCATGATCTCACAGAGCACATGATCTGAAGAAGTGTCTTAGTTTGCCTTCTGCCCTAGGTTCAAATCAGACCTCTACCACTTCCTAGCTATTCTCTTTAACCTTTGCATGAATAAATGAACAGTATTTGTGGACCTCATCAGAGTACTGTCAGAACCAACTTAGAAAAGTGCCTGACCTTCAGTAACTACTCAATACATGCCAGGTCAGGGAGACAGAAAAGCAAGGAACTTGGGCCTGGACCCTGCCCAGCTCTGGATGCCGAGCAGCCACAAACCCTCATCCTCATACATCATGCTGTAGAATTTCTGTTACCTTCATGATCCCACATGTCCCTACCTTGGGGGAACACACAGGTGGGCACATGGGCCTTGCAAGTAGTCACAACTCACCAACTGCTCCTGGTCTACAAACTCAAAGGCAATCTGGCACGAGGTCTCCATTTGACTGTCAATCTATAAGAGGGAGAAGGTCAAAGGTTACTGAGCTGGCCTCACGGCTGGGACCCTAGCCTCTGGGTGGATCAAGGTTTGAACTTCATCTGCCTCCCCCCCAGCTATACCTAGAAAGACAGAGACAAGGCTGGGGGAAGCCCTACGCCTGTCACAGCCCCCAGAGGAGGGCTACAGAAGAGCAAAGCTTCTCATTTTACTTCCCACCCCATGAAATCACAGATGCTAGTTGATTATAAGGCAGAATCATCTCAAGGAGAATGTAGAATATCATTGCTGTGGAGGGAGTAAGCACTCTATTGTAGCAGGAATTCAAGCAGAGACTGACCACACTCTGGGGAGGGAGGATCTGGGAGGCTTGGAGTAGATGCCTTAAGGCCCTGCCACCCCTGCCACTGACTAATGTGTTCTAAGTCTCAGAGGATAATGTGGCACGTGGTCTTCCTTGGACTGCTGCAGCAGCATACACGGGCAGAGCAGTGAAGTGGCAAGGGAGGCAGGAGGTCCAACCAGCAGGCCCCAAGTTCAGGGCCCTGGGGCTGGCCTTAGCCAGTGGTGCCCCACCCTGCCTGGCTGGCCAGAGGGATGGTAAATTCCCCTCTGAGAAGGACAGGGGCCATGACAACAACCTGACCCTGCCTGGCTGGACCATGTTTGGAATTGTTGACGGTTCTGTTGGCCTGATTAGAATGAGACATGGGCTCCTTCATGGCCCAGATGAGCTGGTCACCCCAGCTCCAAGGGCAAGAGCCAGGGGAGGTGAGGGTGGAGAGCTGGGAGCCGGTCAGGAGCCTCTCCCCTCCAAATCTGGGTGGGGCCTTGGTGCCAGGCTGGCTGCATAACTGGGAGTTCAGAAGATGTACACAACATCTGGACCCGGCAAGCAAGTTGGGCCGACTTCCCAGAGGAGGCATTCCCTGAGTGAGATAGGCCTTAGGGAGTTCACAGTGGACAGTCCTAGGCAATTGTTCCCCAGGTAGTCACCCAGAAGCCCACCGACTTATTGTCTGTGGGAGTTGGTGGGACCTGAGGTCCTGACTTGGGAAGGTCAGTGAGAAGACACAAGGCCCAGTCAGCTCTATTTCCTGCAACCCCTCTCTTCACCTGCTCCCTGGGCCATGTCTCGTTTCCCCAGTGGGAAAAAGGCATGGCCACACACTCACCAGCTGCTGTAGGAACTGCAGGTGTCCTTTTCCAATCATGTGACTACAGTGCTCTGACACCTCTTCGGCAATACTCCTGCTTACCAGGAGACAGACCAGCAGCAGCCAGGGTCCCAGCCATGTCTGTGACGGAAAGGGAATAATTTCTCTCCTGCTCTCACTCTTCCCAGGTACCCTCATGCCCTGCCCAGGACACAAGATCTCACGCTCTGGCAACCCAAATGTCACCTTTTCCAAGAAGCCTTCCCAGATTAACCCAGGCCAGCCCAACTACACGAAGAACACCTCATATGACACAGGTGGTATGCCAGTCTAAATTCTAGAGGCACAAGAAATTCCTGGAGGGCAAGATTTTCACCCACCCATTATTGGATCCCTGCAACATTAATACTGAGCCAAGCACCTTTCGAGCTGTCCTCAAGTTCATGTTTATGTAACAGCTTCCAAAATGCAAGCCAGAGACATTTTCCAAGGGTGGGGGGCGTAGCCCTTCCTCCCACCTGGTTCCACTCAAGTCTAACTCTGCCACTAGAAATGACAGGGTACCAAACTCAGTTTCACTGGGAACTCATCCCACGCCAGAGACCCCCTGGAGTCCTGAGTATATGTTTCAAAAGGAGCTCAATTGATTAATCAGAGGCAGTGGTGCCAGCTCTGGGCCCTCCCTGGCTGGCACCTGCCTGTCAGAGTCCCATCACACTGTGCATCCAGCCAGCTCTTGCCACAGCAGGGAAGTCTTCTCCCCTGTGCCAGCAACTACCTGGCCCAGTAGCTGCTCAGTCCCAGAGGAATGGGACTGGCTCCTGATACCCAGTCTTTGGCCTTTCTTCTTCCTTCCTCCCTCCTCCTCCCCAGAATCCTCTCATCCTTGTGGGCTCCTATAGAAAGTCCTAGGGCTCCCTTTCTCCAGCCAGATGCAGAGAAGCCTTGGACTTTCCTTCCTCAGCTTGAGGTTGCTTCCTGAGAGCAACTAAATCCTCTGGCAGTTGATACCTCCAGATTCAGGGAACAGGTTAAGGTGAGGGCTGGCACATTCCTGGAGCTGGGCTTTGCCTGAGTAATCCAGATGATGCCACAAATACTGCAAATAAGTAGCATATTGGAAAAACACAGGAAAGCTAGAAGAACCCACAACAGCTTGCTGATCAACATCTAAAAGCCCACAGCCTTTCCAGTTCTTCCCAGGGTGAAGAGGCAGCTCTGACTGTCCCATGGGGAGCTGCAGAGGGAGGAGGGACCCAGTGAGGCCTTAAAAGATGGTAGAAGTTGATGGGGAAGGGGATAGAGGAAAGAGGTAGTGGCCCAATTCAGCACAGGGCCTGTGAGGGTCCTGGCCTGGCCTGAGAAGGAGTAGGGGCGAGGGGGAGAACAGTCATGGGTAGTGGGTACTTCAGGCTCTGATGGGAAGTGGGGGGGGAGTGTAACTCTGGGTGGCAAGGGTTGCCCACATCCTCAGGATCCTTTGGCTCAGAACCTATTAAAGGAAATGGCTGCCACTGAGGCTCTGAACCCCAAGTGTGAACAGCATGTAGGAAAAGACTTTGTGGACTGACATATTCAGGAAGATCTCACGCCAGGCACTTCAAGACATTGATGTCTGCGGACACAACGAGAGGGCAGGGCTTAACCCCTAGAGCTGCCTGGCTTTGGGCTGTATTTTAGGCATCCTGAAATACGTTGGGCCTGGGGGTGGAGGTCAGGGGGGATTACAACAACCATATGGAAGGCTGACTCTGAAGATAGCCAAAGGTGGCCACCCTCAGACCTGGGGCCCCAGTGTCGCCACAGAGGAGGATCCAGATGGGCGCCCAAGGGTTAACACTCTAGCTTGCATCTGGCAGGGCAGGCTCTTCCCGGCTTCCATTCTTCCTCCCACCCACCCTCAGTTTCTGCCTGTGGGAGCAGCCCTGGAAGGAATCCCTGAAGCTCAGAGAGATGCAGGCTGTCTCGGTACAACTGTCTATTCTCAGCTGCCACCGATCCCATTTCATCTTCCCCTTCAACAAGGTCCTGGTACAACCAGACCCTTTGACTTGTCTAAGCCTGGTTCCTTTTCTTTCCTCCTGCTCTCACCTCCAGCCCCTTCTTTGCCTGTTGCCTAGGGCCTAGCCCTCCTTCCTTTCTCCATCCTCTGCCTCTCAGTTGGGAGCTTCCTCCCTCTGGATCCACTCTTCTCCCTCTCACCTTCTCCTTCCTCTCACCCCACTGACAACCTGCTCCTTTCCACACCAAATATTGTTCTGCTCCTTTTCCCCAAGTTTCTCCTCTTGTTCCTCCTCTTGTTCCCCTCCAGGGCAGCAGAGAAGCAAACCCATTATGCTATACATTAAAAGTGCCAACCTGCACTTTCTAGAAGCTGCAGCAGTTATGGCCACTATTGGGGCAGAGTGTCCCCTTGTGTACTTCTGGCAGTCCTGTCTGAAGTTTGCACCTCCAAACTCTCCTTCTACCTTCCTCAATTAAGTGGAGCACAGAATATTCCCAACTCATTCACCCAGATTCTGCAAGAAAAAAGATTCAGGGCTAGCCCCATGCGGACCTGGGGCTCGTTCCCTTCAAATAGCCACCGGAGTCCTTAACAGCTCCCTGTCCATGGGCTGGAACAAGAAGCGGCTTGCCCATTTCTTTTTCTTTCAGTAGGTTGCTCAGCACAGGATGGGATGACCCCTGAACTTTGCACACCCCAAAGTGCCCACTCCCCAGCAGGGCCTGGAAACACGTGCGTTGGGGGAGGAAGATGCCCACTGGGGTGGACACCACACTGAGCGAGCCCACTCCACCTGGAGACAAGGCAGGGCGCCCTGGCTGACACTGGGCCTTCGCTGGTGGCTGCAAACCCCTCTCTCCTGCCTGAGGGTGGCTCAGTGTTCCCCTCTGTGCAATGGGGTGCACAACTTTCCCTTCCCCCTGGAAAGCGCTATAGTCCCAGGAGCAGCTACAGGGCTGCCATCAGGTTCAACCCAAGCGCCTGGAGCTTCCGTGCAGTGCCTGCGCAAAGGCGGTTGGAAGAAGCCGGAGCCCGCGGCCGCGGCGGGAACGCCAGAGCAGCCGGCGCGCCCGGGCTGTGGGCTCCGAGGGGCCCCCGGCCGCCGATCGTCTGCCCCAGCCCGGCCGCGGTCATCGCTTACCGTGGGAGGGCAGCGCCCGGCGGCGCCCCGCGCGGTCATACGGGCAGCTGGGTCCCGGCCGGGCGCGTCGGCCGCGCTCGCTGGTTCGCTTGCTTGCTCGCTGGCTGCTGCAGAATCCGAGCCCCGATCGAGGGCCGCGCCGCTGTCCCGGGATGCGGAGAGAACCGCGGTGGCGGCGCGGAGAGGACCCAGGCAAACTTTCACTTTCCCCTGGCGGAGCTTCGCTGGCCAGCCCTCGGCACAGCCTTTTAAGCGGGCGGGCTCGCGGGGCATGTGGTTTATGGGAAATCACCCTGGCCAGGAGCCAGACGCGCGCACACACACACAGCACTGACACACACACACACACACACACACACACACACACTCTCTGACAACACACTCCGCAGGCCCACTGAGCCTCCTCCCCCTCCCCCGCCCCTCCCCTCCCCCGCCCCTCCCCTCCCCCAGCGCGCCGGCTGCTCGTCCCGCTTGCTATTCCCTAGTCGCGCTGCGCTCTGGGCTCACTGTGCAGGCTTCAGCACAGTAACGCGGGCTCCACCGCTTCGCCATCCCGCCCTTCCTCGCACCCTTGCTGCACACAGCCTTTCCTTCCGAGCTCTCCAGGCCGGCCGAGCCGGTGTCATTATCCTCTTTCTAATACTGGTCCCGAGGGACTTTCCCTCTAGGCCTGAAAAAAATCCCCAGATCAGAGTAGGAAATGAACTAGAGCAGGGACAGTTATTGAGAAGGGGTGGGGATGTGGGGAGGCTAATCCACCCTCAGGAAGACTGACAACAGGTTTGCAGGCAGTAGCCTCCTTCCTATGCAGCCCCCAAGGAGCTGGCCATGCCGCCTGTCCCCTGTTCTGTGGGGCAGGGTACAGGCCAGGAGGCCAGCTACCCAGCGAGGAGAGGAGGGACTGTGTCCTGTGATAGCCAGCTGGGAGGTTCTGCCCTCGGTGCCAGGAGACACTTGACCCTCAGTCGGATGATGTGAACACTGGCTGGTACCCATGCTCTCTCCTTTCTCCAAATGCAGCTCAAATTGGAAAGGCTCTGCACCTGGGCCCTAGATTTCCCTTGATGCTTTTGGAATCGCGGTTACTGAGATGATTAATTATACTTTGTCTCTATATGAGAATGAATCTATTAGGATGAGCCTATTAAACTATAATGCCAGCACCACGAGCTTTCTCTTTCTTCAATTCATTATGATTTCAATGTGTTTCAATCCCTCTGTGAGACTTTCCTGTCCTATCTCCTGGTCTTTAAGAGGTATCTCTTGTCACTTGCCCTACATATCCCTTGCTCCAGCCCCAAGCAATGATTTTACACCCATGTACCTTTGCTCAGACCTGTCCCTCCGCTGGGAAGGCTTTTTTCCCCTGCTGACCTTAACGTCATCCATTAAGTTTGAAATCACATTTCATCCTCCTCCAAGAAAGCTTTCTCAACTCCCAGACAGATCAATGGCTCCTTTTTCCTACTGGACTTAGCTCCTTCCTCCCCATTAATTGTTTGTTACTCAGAAGTTGTTTGTTGTTCATTCTTCACATTCATTTTAGATAGTATTTAAGGTGGTACTGATGGTTACATTCTGATCCCACCCCAGCCTGGACTTCTTCTAAGGAGCATCCATTTCACTTATCTCGGAATCAGCAGAGCTAGCTTGTAATGGAGTGAACAAGACAAGTCCTTCATTTGATGCATGAGCAATGCCTACTGTGGCCCAGGCACTGCACTGGATCCTGGAATGCAATGATGGACATGCCAACGTGGACCTTGCTTTCATGGGTTTGTAGGTAGCAGATGCGAAAGACCTGGGGCAGTAACTGGTGCTCAGAGCTTCCTTGGAGGAAGACAGAGACAGAAGCCCAGCCACAGAAAGAAGAGTGAGAGGTAACTTCTACCCCCAGAAAACTTCCTTTAAGTGGACTTGGTACAATAAGACTTAAGATAACTTGTTGACACCATGGTTCTTAAGCATGATAAGAGCTTAGAGGAAGTCATGTTAGAAAGATAAGCCTGCAGACTTGTTGAGAAGGGAGATAAATTTTACTTGCTTCCCCTTTACCAACCCACCTCTGTCCCAGGCTCACTGAGATCTGGCAGAGGGCAGCCATCCTCTTGGGCAGGCGCAAGGCATGAGGTCCTCATTCTCCCTCTCCTGAAATCCCTCACATACCCAGCTTTGAACTTGACCCCACCACTTACAAGCTATTTGCCCTTGACAGCTCTGCCCAGTCATTTGCTGTGTGACTTTGGACATTTGCTATGTTGACTTTTTATAGACTCAGTGTCTATGAAATAGAGATGGTTTTCATCAAGAAGTTAGGAGAACTGAGTGAATAATGCCTGTGAGTGTTTAGCGAGGTCTGTTGTTGCTGTTTTTATTTTCTGCTTACTCAGTGGGTCTCCAGCAATGACATAACAGTGGTGTGGTGGACTTGGTTTGCTTGTTTTCTTGTGGTACAGGGGATCAAATCCAGGGCCTTGTGCATGCTAGGCAAACACTCAACCACTGAGCCACACTCCCAGCCCAGTGTGTGGTAGACTTGGGAATCCCAACACCTGAGTTTACTCTCAACTCCACCACTCATTTGCTGTGGGACTTTAGACCAACCCTTCATCTCTTCTGAACCTCTCTTTGCTCACTTGTGCAATGGCAATGATAAGCTCTTCCCCCAGGAGTGGTTTTGGGGTCCAGTAGGGTGATGTCAGAGTCTAGCACCATGAACAGCTTGGTTATGAAAGGCCTCTTTGGATGCATACACTGTGGGACTGTGGGAAACGATACCTGTGCAGAGTTGCAGAGGGATGAGCAAGGCCCTCTGTAACTGTGGGATTGCATCCATTTCATCTGTTACCTTAAAAGGAGAGACTGCAAATCTGCTCAACCCTAGATAAGCTTTGCCTCCAGCCTCAGGGAAATCGAGGCTGGAAGAGCAGATGACACAGCTGAATGGAAGTGCCTTCCCAGCAGTGGTTCCTCTATTTGCTCCTGCTCTAGGGCTGATTCTCTTGTCCCCCAAACCCACCACCACTTCTGCCTGGCTGGGCAGACAGGTCTTGGCTAGATCACAGGATCAAGTCCACAAGAACGCATCTGTCTGTATGTGGCTCCGTACAAACCCACGTGAGCCCATCATATGCAAGGAGTGATGGAACCACAGAACTAAATTCTTTTTCACTCTACATTGTGTTGGATGAGAAAATGGAGATCCAGAGAGGCTAAACCACCCGCTCCAGAATCACACACGAGTTAGTGGGATCTCAGGAGTGAGGCCTGGAATGAGAAGACTGGGTCAGATCAGCCACTGTCTTCCATGCTGACTACTGATGGAGTCATGTCCGGAGCCAGGTCCTGGGGGAGGTAGAGAGGAATTTGGCTCCATCTGAGATTGGGGTTTCAATGATTTCCTAATGTACTATCATCAAGGAGGCAGCAATCAGCTGACCCTGGGGGAGGGCAGGGATGATGGGAGAAGAATGAGCCAAGGGAAGGAGGAGAGATGGAAAAAAAAAAAAGAGAAATGGAGATGGATGGATGGCAGAAAGTGGGAGGAAAACCTCATTAGATGGCTGTCAAAATGTCATTTCCTTGAAGTTATTTGACAGGCAATTTCCTCTGGAGTCCTTTCCTAGAGAACTGACTTCTATGGTGCGGGGGTGCTCTCTCTTCTCTCTTGCTCTCCTATTCCCTCTCCTTTCTGTTCTTCCCTTTCTTCTTCCCGCCATTTCTCCCTTCTTTACTCCTTCCTTTCTAACTCTCCCCTCCCCCCCGCATCTCTTTCTTCCACCAAAGTGGTCCCCTGGCTCTTGAAGAAGTGGACCAGGATAGGCAGCAGTGGCTTTGGAAACCAGGGCTGCAGAATGCTGCACACCTGTTCCAGTGTTCCCTGCAAAGTGCTACAGAGACCCAAAATATAGTAAGGATAGGAAACAGGAGTCAGATCCTGGATACTCCTTCTCCCAGACTGCCCATCAGGACCTGATTCAGTGGCTGCCCTTCTTGTTGCATCTTTTCCCTTTTTCTTAGGGGAGGTTAGCTGGAAGGGTCAGGGTCGTAAAGCCATCAAAATGGAAGGACCCTCAGACTGAGTTTCTCTATCACTTAAGTGGGAATGGTAGCTCCCAGCCTGCTGGCTCCCAGGGCTGCTGTGAAGACTGCATATGTAACTTACCAGGAGCCAATGGCTGATACTATAGAAAACTACCAAGTTTATTGAGCTCACATCTTCCTCTGGCTGGAAGTCAGCTGTCTCCCTTGTCCCCATCACTGCACACACACCTGCTGGCTTCAGGGCTCATGCTGTGAGCTTCCTGAGGGCCCCTGCCCCTGGAATACAGTCACTGCTGGAAGACCTGACTACTCACAGTCCAGCTGCCTTCCAGGGCCCCAGCTTCTTCTCCTGCCTGGTTAAGCTCTGTCTCCTGAACTTTCAAAGTTAATAAATCTCACCCAGAAATTAAGAAATGACTTAGCCACAGTGAATTTTGGCTTCCTGAATGTCCTCCCTTATCCTCTGAAGTCAAAAATCCTCTGCTGAAGACCCTCCTTGAATAAAAACTTTTAATCTTCCTTGGAAAAAGAGAGTCACAAAAAGAGTGGCATGTTGACTGGTGTCCAAGCAAGGCACAAAGCCGGCTTCCTTTCCTTGGCTTTGTGTGACTTCAGAGCCAATGAGGCTGAGAATCATCTGGAAACAGGAAGTTAGAGACTCATCTGTTAATACAATGAATGTTTTGAGTGCCTGCTGATTGCTTGACCTGTGCTTGCTCACGGTTAGTTCAATTACGTGCTACCAGGGTCATTTTACCAATAAGCAGTGATGGTAGAGGAGCGTCCTGGAGGTGCCCAGAGTGGCTTGGCTTCCAAAATTACCCAAAGGAACCCAGAAACCAGAAGCAAAGAAGAAACTGGGAATTGGAAGAGTTTGGGTCCAGATATAGCCAGGAGAGCAGACCTCTCTGGAGATTTTCTTACCTTGGTTCTCTACGCTGGTTTGCCCAGTGCCAATGGGGAGTCCAAGAAGAGGCTTCCTCATGTGAGGCTGGTGTGATTGGGATTGGGGGAGGCCCAGGGCCAAAGAGGACAGGGAGAGGATGCCTTCCTGGGGCTACTGCATGCCAGGGAAGGGGAGGCCTGGGGATTCCTATTCTAGCTTGCTCATCTCTGTGGCTGTCCTGGCCCCAGGCCAGGGTTCCTGCCAGCCCTGGCTCTCTATCCTGTCGATAAATCTCCTTTCTGCTGACTGGTGCTAAGCATTTCTACCCAGGGAGTAGCAAAGATTA